AACTGGTGCAGCTGTTGAAGTTAAGTTGGTATCAATTCAAACTAGCTTGTTATAAATACAAGATGTTCATTGTGATCATCATGGTTAACACTAGGAAAATATTTTTACACAAAGGAAAATGAAAGGTATCGCTGTGTTTTCTGATATTGCTGAGATTTTAGCATGTGCCAGGCAGGGTAATTAACACTTATTGATGCTCATCTAATCCTCACAACATCCACATGGAATGGGCTCCACTGGCTTCATTTGACAGAAAGGAGGGCTTTGACTCAGAGAAGAGCAGCCAATAGGAGTAGGGAGTGAGTCTGAGGATTTGGGAGTTGATCAAGAAAAAAATATGTGGCACCATATAAAGGCTATATTTGGGCATGACTTGGACAGGTTTGCATTCAACATTCACCCATGGCATGACACCTTCTGGTGGATCAATGCACAGGGGCCACCATCCACAAAGGGAGGAAGGCAACACAGGAGACAACGATGCAGAGGAGGTTCACCTGTCTGGGTGTTGGCACTCAGCAGCCAGACAGGAAGTCTCCAGGTAAGGAAGATCAGGAGGGCCTCAGCTGCACGCGGCCTTAAAACTACAGTGGGGTCTTATCAATCAGCAACAGCTGTCCAGCGCGGGTTTGCAGGGTATGCAAGGCAGGCAGACTCTCAAAGGCTAAAAATCTGCTCATTTGCACTATTGTTAAATAAATGGATGTACACATATTTGAGTGCTGTGACAACAGGCTTTGAGGTAATGCATGTCAGCCTGCAGTGAAGAAATCAACATTGGGGCCAGTATACGGAGGCCATCTTTGATCCATTTATGTAACACTAGGCTAAGGTCACCATGAGTACAGGGGAATCCAAACACCACCACATGCAGACAACTTCACTGTCACCTGCCCAAAGAGGTGGCCGTGTGCTTTCATTAGGCACGACCCCAGCTGGGGGTCCCACAGACCTCCTCCACACTCCTAAACTCCTGTCACCTTCTCTCTGTGTCCTCTCCCCTCCTGCCCCCACCTGCAGCCAGCTGGGTCACCTCCTACCTCCCTCTCCAGATGGCCAGGTGCAGTCTCAGTGCCCAGTTGTTTGTCTAGATCTCTGAAGCACCAGAGATTTTACCTTCCTGCAAACAAATATGTTAACTGCCTGTGTTTTGAGGATATTGGCAGAACACACGAGAATCTTGGGTCACAGACAAAGGACTTTATTATTCATGGCACAGCAGGCAGCATGAGGTTCAGGGTCACATCGGTTCGACTTGTCCCTCAGGTCCCACGGGGTGACCAGCGTGGCCCAGGTGGACACTGTGCACACAGTGGTTTGTGCCAATGCTGGGGAACCTGAGTTTACACATCCTTAGTCATACAAGGAAGCCCCAAGGAAATCTGCCTGACCCTTGAACTTCAGGGAGATATTATCTTTATTATCTTGGACCCCTGATAGACCTGTCCTGAAGGAACAGCATACTTACTACCCTGGACAATCAATAAATTTGTTATGGAGGGACATTATCGTTATTATCTGCACAGTAAATAAACTTGCTCTGATGCTCTCCAGAAGCATCATTGAAAACACAACCCAGAACTAAAATGTTGCTAATCCCCTTTTCAGGAGACACAGCAGAAAGCTTAGAGGGCCTTGGAGAACAGTCTCCCAACACTGTTTAGTTTGAAGCCTGGACGCTTCCCTACAGTAGGACCTCACACTTCTTGGCTAAAAACTTCAGGGATCCGCCACCCCCTCTGCAGTTGGCAATGATGTTGCTAAGATCCCACAAGGTGAGAAGTGTCGTCATGAGGTGCTGCCCTCATCTGCCCACACTGGTGCTCTCTGAGGCCTACTGCCAAGCTGAAGGCAGGGTTCAGCTGGGCACAGTGCTCACACCTGTAATCCCAGCAGAGTAGGAAGCTAAAGCAGGATTCCTTAAAACCCAGGAGTGTGAGATCAGCCTGGGCAACATAGTGATACCCCATCTCTATGTAAATTTAAAATTTGCCCTGGCATAGTGATCACACTTGTAGTCCCAGCTACTTGCTAGGCTTAGGCAAGATGATTGCTTGAGCCCAGGAGCTGGAGGTTGTAGTACGTTGTGAATGTGTCATTGAACTCAAACCTGGGCAAAAAAGAGAAATCTTGTGTCAAAAAAAGACAATGTTCCTGGTCTCCTAGCACCTTCTCTGGGGTACCAGAACTCCAGCATGCGCCCCACAGAAGAAAAGGCTGGAGGCCCACACTCCTGGATCTTGCTCCTGATTCTCCTCTGTGACCCCATAAAAGGATTTTCAACACCCCTTATTCCTGAATTGCAAGATTGTGCCTCCTGCTGTGTGCCGTGGGTCCGCCCTGCAGTCACAACTAATCCTGAGGTTGAGACTGGAGGATCCCTTGACTCCAGTAGGTCAAGACCAGTGTGGGAATGAAAGTGACACACAGCCTCAAAAAACAATAATAATAGTGTGGCTTCTGAGAAGTAGACAATTTATTCAGCATGCAATGCAATTTCCAGTAAGGATAATCTTCACATGGGAGGGCAGGTGGTCCAGCATCCCTGGGACCTCAAGTGCCAAGTCTGTGAATGAGGTGTGGCGGTCTTTGGGAGCCCAACATTGTGTTAGAGGATATGATTTTGAAATGCCAGAGAAATTGCTTTCGGGGAACGCTGGAACTTAATATTTCTTCACCTGGAGGCGCAAGGACTGTGGATCTTTGAAACCCCACTGTTTGTGAGTAAAATATTAACAGATTTGGGTAATGAGATTCTGAGTATGTGAAGAATAAAGAAGTTCCATTCCAGAGCACACAGGAAACTGGGCTGCTGGCATCCAATTGGTGCACAGATCAGAGAGACTCAGAGCCACACTGCTGATATTTGAGGGCACATGGGGTCTTGGGGATTGAGGTCTTGACGAGAGGTTTACTGGTATGAGGCTTTCTACCAGTAATGGGTCAGTGGGTCAGTGATACCCCTCCCTCCTGTTTCTGCCCACTCGCCCCAGCCTCTCCTCACTGTCTCTCTCCACAAGAGAAATGTCCCAGGAGCTATAAGCACATGTAGCTTCAGCCCCTTGCAAGGTACCCAGAGTGATCGAGGACAGATAGGACAGCAGATACAGGCTGTCCCTCCTCTTCCAATGCCCTGGGGGTAGGAGGGGACTGTCTGGTCCCCATCAGCATGGGTAGGGCCTTGGCAACCATCTGGGTGTCAGCAGGGCAGGGTGTCATATAACGTGGTGGTGGGTGGGAGACACAAACTTTTAAAGGCTCCCCGAGGGAGGGTCTCCGGCTCCTAGCTCACACCTGCCCCTGGACACAGCAGTCACCATGTGGCTCCTGGTGCTGTGCCTGGCTCTGTCCCTAGGTGGGGGGCACTGGTGAGTAGCAGAGGGCATGGGGGAGGGGAAGTGACTGACTCTCCTGCTGCCCTCCCCTGCAAAAGCCCTTCCCCTCCCACGCAGCACCCAGGTCCCGGCCTCCAGCCCACAGGCCACATCACATCAGGGTGGGGGCTCCTTCCTGTGTCTCTTAGCCCCACCCTACAATCCCACCCCAGCCCCTGCACATTCCCAAGGCCCTCCCAGTGCTCATCCCACACTGGGGCCCTGCCCCCTCCCACTTACCCCACAACTCTCTCCTCTTCCCAGGCCAGCACCCTGTCTCCACTCTCTGGGTCACCAGGGCACATCCTGGGCCATCTCTGTCTCTCTCTCTCTCTCTGTCTCTCTCTCTCTCTCTCTCTCTCTCTCTCTCTCTGGGAAGCTCTGGCTCTGCCAATACTCCCCAACCCCACCAGACCCTGGGACCTTGATCATCCCCTCCTACCCTCAGTATTCTGTGGCCCAGCGGTCTGACCACTGAGGCCCCAAGTCCCACCACCCCTGGTGACTGTGACCACCCAGCTGTTAGCTTTGAGTCCTGTCTGCCAGACCCTGACTTCTGGTTCCCCCAATATTCCCAAGACCCCAGAATGCCACCAGCATCTCCTGCTCCTTCCCAACTACACTGCCTGGAACATGACACCAGATCAGCCTCTCCTCCTGCTAGGAGGACTCTGTAAGTTTCCCTTCTGCCCTGATTCCTTCCATCAAGCCCCCTTCTAGTGACCCCAACTTTCTCTCCCATGAAAGACATGCAGAACCCCCTACAAGTCCTCATGGAATTCATATCCCTCCCTAGGCTGAAGCCTTATGCCAGCTGAACCCTTCTGGAGAACTCTGGATTCCTGGGACCCCCCAAGATCCTCAAAACCTTCTGAGCCCAGCTGTCCTCACTGACTCCTCCTGTGCCTCAGTGAGGGAGTCCCGCACCCCACATCAAGCAGACCCTTCACTCTCTTCCACATCTGCTTGGTCCCCATGTCACCCCCTTTCCATTCCCGTGCTGGGACCACCCAGACAGAACCCCAGATCCCTCCTGAACGCTCAGAGCCCTCATTTCCTTCAAACAAAGAGCCATCTCTCAGCCCAGCCTGGAAGGACTGTCACTAAGCCTTCCTCCCTCCCAAGGCCCATCCCACCCCTGACTGAAGCCCTGTCCCCGAAGCCCCCTGCCCCTTAGATGCCACTGATGTTTCACAGCACCCACAAACCTCACAGGACCCTGCTCAGTTCTTAACCCTAACCTATCTTGCACCTTTGGACCTAGAACCCCAAATTCTCATAACTCTTACAGCCCAGCTAAACTCCTCCAGCCTCAGTCTGAGAAACTCCAATTCCCCAGTCCAGAGACTCTTTCTTGACCCTCCACACCTCATTCCTTAAATGTATATCATGTTCACACCCCAAACCCCAACACAGACTTCAGTGGATTCCCCAGCTTGGAACCTCTCAGAGCCCTCCACATTCCTGCACTCCCAGCCTGTCACCGCCTCCCTTGATGCTGTTACTTGGCTTCTAGAATAGGGATTCCACCCTCCAAACACATCGCCTCCTATCCCCCAGTCCACGGTCCCAAATTACCTGAAGCAACTGGACCCCCACACTCGCCCCCTGCTCCAGACGCTGCCTGTGTCTCCCACCCGGGTCCCCGGGTCCGCTCCACACTCAGAGCATAAACTCTCCCCACCCAGCACCAGCACTATCACCGAACTGCACACCCAGGGATGGCTCAGGACTCTGGGTCCTTCCCAGCACCTCAGACCCCAGTCCTGGTCCTCTCCGGCTATGCCCTGCCAAGCACAGCACAGCCCGCCCCTCCTGCCAACCTTCCCTGACCCAGCGCCCCCTCTGCAGGCACCACGCCACCGCCCACTCCGCGATAACAGAAGCCCGTGACTGTGAGAGGAATTTACAGCCCTACCTGGTGGCAGTGCTCCATCACAGCAAGCTCGAGTGCAGGGGTGTCCTGGTGCACCCGGAGTGGGTGCTCACAGCTGCCCACTGTATGAGCGAGTGAGTCTGGCCCTGGGGTCTAGGGAGGGGGTATCTGTGCCCCTCAGGCACAGTAGCCGGGCAAATACACTGGGTAATGTCAGGCAAGGCTGGGGGATTGAGAGACATAGGGAAGGTTCTGGTCCAGGTGCATGGGGAGGCAGAGATGAGGCTGGCCCACCCTCCCATGGCTGCTGGGGTCCTTCTCAGGGACTCTTCCTGGGTCTCACCCCTCCCCCATCACCACTGAAAACACAGTCAAGATGGGTCTGAGGGGTCCCCGAGAGAAGGAAGGGCTTTAACCCCAACCTGTGTGCATGACAGGGTGCCCCTCACTCTGCCCAGCCCCCCTCAGGACATCAGTATACTCTGGGGAGACACAGGGAAGGGCTGGTTTCAGCTGGAGCTGGGTGGGGCCACTGGAGGAGGAAGAGGGACCAAGAAAGGGAGAGGAAGGAGGAAGGAAGCTGGAAGGAAGGGGGGATGCAATATCGGGCTATGGCCAGGCCACCCCCGCTGTGGGGAACCCCCACAGCCCCAGCTGCAGCTCAGCCACTCTCAGGACTCCCCTCCCCTGCCAAGCCCCCCACTTTCTCTCTCACTCCCCAGCCCCTGGCTTCCTCTCTGCCTCTGGCCCTCATTCTCCCTGACTTCCTGCCTCCACTCTCATTGGCTGTCCCGCACTCCTTCCCTGTCCTGCTCTCTCCTTCCCCTTCCCTGAGTGTTTCTCACTGCCTCTGCCTTGCCTCTTTCTCAGCCTCTTTTTTGCTCCTTCTGCTATTTCTCACTGTCCCTGTTTGCCTTTCTCACTTGACTATGTTTTGACTCCTCCCTCGCTCCGTACCTTGAGTCTTTACCTCTTTTACACCCTCCCCCGTGACCCCACCTTCCTGTAACACTGTCTGATTTTCCAGAGAGGGTGTGTGTGTCTCCCTGATCTCCTGTTTATCCTCCCCTCCCCCCTGCCGCTCTGCCCCATCTCCTGCCCCTTCTCTACCCCCACCCCTTGCATCCTTGTCTCCTCAGCAAGTACGACGTGTGGCTCGGCCGCAACAGTCTCTCTGATGAGGACCAGTGGATCACAGCCATGCGCAGCTTTCCGCATCCCAAATTTGACATGAGCCTCCTGACTCCTGAGACGTCCCCTCAGAGTGACTTCAGCCACAACATCATGCTGGTCCACCTGAACAATCCTGCCAAACTCACAGATACTGTGCGCGTGGTGGACCTTCCCACCGAAGATCCCAGAGTGACCAGCACCTGCTACACCTCCTCCTGGGGCAGAGGCGACCCAAACAGACGTATGCCAGGGCCCCTCACCTAGTGGGTCAGACACCTGGGCCTGAGGAAGGAGGGCGCTGGAGGTGGGGACCCCTGAGTCTGATGGCAGAGGGGCCTGGGCATGGACTCCTGAACCTGAGAAAGGAGGGGGCTAGGGGCCGCCCTCCTGGGGCCCCGGAAGGAGGGGCAGGGGAGCCTGGTGGGGTCGGGTACAGCCCTGTTTCTCCATTACTCATAGCCAAGAGGCCGGACGATTTGCTGTGCTTGGAACTCAGAGTCCTGCCCAATGACACATGTGTCAGAGACCTTGGCAAGACACCAAAAAACACCATGGTGTGTGCTGGGGACTGGGAAGGCAGCATGAGCTCGTGCCAGGTGAGCCAGCCTTGTGCCCATCCACTCCATTCCCTCCTGGCCCCAGAGGGTCATACGAATCTGAGAACTGACCTTACCCCATCCCTGCTCACAGCAAGCCATGGTTCCCCAGTGCCCTGCAAAGGAGGGCGTCTACTAAGAGAAAACTTCCTAGACAAGTGGTCTCTGCCATGAGCACTGTTGGGGGCGGGTGGTCCTGCAGAGGGTCCTGCTCCTCCCCCTGCTGACTTGTTTATTGACTATCCTCTCGACCCTGTCCCTGCACTGGAGCTGACCCAGAAGTCCTTTCCTCCTTGTCCAGGACCCAAGCCACCATCCCCTCTATTGGAACCCTGCCTCCCTTCTTCTGCAAGTGGCTCCGGAGACCTGAGGTCTGACAACTAGGCCTCGAAGGCAGAACCCAGGCCCTGCTGACCTTTTGCATTCTCTCTTCCTTCTGCTCCCAGGGTGATTCAGGGGACCCACTAATCTGCAATGCTATTCTACAAGGCATCGCACTGTGGAACAAAACTCCATGTAGCAAGCCCCATTTCCCCACCTGGTACACCCCAGTGCTGCCATATGTGCAGTGGATCAGGGACACCATGGCCGCCAACCCCTGAATGTCCTGCACTGAGCCCTGACATCAGTAAAATCAAATGTTCTTCAACCTCTAGTGTCATCATTCCAAACAGGAAGCACCTGGAAGCTTCAGACTCAGGTGGCTGAGGCTAGAGCCCCGCCCCCCCTCCCCCCGCCCTGCTGACCTGTGTCCTGAGGTGTGGAGTCAGGGGAAGGGGGAAAGGACGCTGCAGCAGCAGACATGTCCCAGTGCTTCTGCAACTGGGCAAGCTTGTCCCCTCCACTCACCACGCCCCACCCCAGGGCACACTGGCAATTTCTGGTCACCTCCTCTCACACAGTTTCTATGAAGACACACACAGGAGGTGAGGGTCTGTGTTATTTGTGTGGTGCAGAGATGGAGAAGGAGTAGGCTCCCCCTGGGAGAGTAGACAATGACACCCTGGGGACGCACTGCACAGAGCACTGAGCAGGAGCTGCAGGCGTGACACAGCACACAGCAGGATGGGCCCTCCAGCCTAGCCCGAGGGACATGTGGGAACCCGGGATGAGACCTCTCATGTCATACCCGCACATCCACTAAACTGCATGCCACAAATACTCCACTAGAGCACAGTCACGTAAGAGAGCCTCCTGAACACTCTGGGGAGCGGGTGGGACCCGAGTGTGGGGATGAAACCGAATACACTAGTTACTGAAGGTGTGAGCCAGTGAATGAGTGAATGAGTGAGTGAGTGAATGAAGAAAAATCAGTAGGCGGGCCTGCCATGAACTGCTACCTCAATATTCCATGGACTAAGAAGTACAACTGAGTCAAACCTCTGCTCATGAAGACTAAGAGAATGAGGAGGAAACCATGATAGACATAAACAGGCAACGTGACAGACACCAGGCAGAGAGAGGAGAAGCCATTAAGAGACACTGAGGTACACACCTGCAGCAACCCAGAGGCACTGAAAGAAGAATGAGGGGGACAGAGATGCAGAGGGGACAGAGAGAACAACTCTAGAACGGCAGAGGAAACTGTGAGAAGGGCTCTGGGGACTGTGTCCCGGCCCCTACTCTTGCCCAGGGCACTGTCATAAGGGGCAGTGAGCAGGGCTGTCTGGGGAGCATGGATGGGAGTTGCTGCCCTGAACACCTCCACCCCACCGTGTCTGCTGTCCCAGGTGGGACAGCCCAGACTGGGTGTGATATAAGGACACCATGGCCAGGATCTCAGCCAACAGTGAGCATCCTGCCGAGTGTCTTCTTCAGGGATCAGGGGAAAAAGGGAAAAAGAAAGAATAGACATTCCCTAAGTAGAAGTCCCCAAATGCACCTGCATTCCCATCTTCACCCCAGATGCCAACACCAAGACCACAGGTGGAACCTGCTAGACTTGGCCTGTGGGGTCTCTGGTCCTCTGTGTCACAGGTCTCTGAATATGCATGAGAGGAAATGTAGTGTGAGGTTGTGTCTCTGTCTGCAACTGGCTGCACACCTGTGTGTCGTACCTCCCACTGGATGAGTTGCTTCATCTGTGTGTGTCCCTGTGGTGTGTGACAAATTGAGTGAGGCAGATGTGACTGTCACTGATTGAGCTGCAACTGTGTGCAGTTCTGTGTATGTCAGACTGTGTGTGTATCTGTGTGTGTGTGTGTGTGTGTGTGTGTGTGTCTGGCCGACCTACCTGCTGTCTTTTTCCCCATATAGGGAAGAGGGCCAGGAACTCTCCAAAGGACCCAGGGGACCAGCCTGGAGGAGGACAGGGGCACGTGAATGAGAGTTATGGGCACCTGGCCTGTTTTGGGAGAGCAGGGAGGAGGCAGGAGCTAGGAAGGTCGGGAGAGGGGTCTGTGGTCCCACTCCTGAGCCCCACCCTCCTTCCCGCTGTAGCAGCTCCCACTGCTTTGACTCAGGGAGCAGGGCAGACACACACAACTCACTCACTCACACATTCCCCCAGCTCTGCCCCCAGAAGCCCTAGTGAAACTCAGCCCCAGCTACTCTCACATGAATGGCAAGGACTGCAGCCCACACTTCCAGCTGACTCTTCCTCAACAAGGAAGTCTTGACTGGCGAGGGTGTCCTGATGTGTCCACACTGCATGCTCACTGGGGAGCAATGACCCCAGCAGTGGGCCTGGAGCCTGTGAGCCTCAGGGGGGGGCTCCATGCCCAGCCAGGACTGGGGAGTGGCCTTGGTGCTGTGGGCGGGCCTGGAACAGGGGTGGCCTCTACCTAGGGGGCAAGGTGTCAGCTCATGGGGCATGAGCAGGGTTCCAGGGATGGGGCCTGGAAGGGGACAGGGAGAGGTGAGGGGAAGTGCAGGCTCTGTGTGCAGCTGTGGCATGGCCTCTGCTCACAGGGCTGAGGCCCCCTGCTCAGTGGGTGGGCCTGGGCAGAGGCATGGCCTGGGCTCCCTGGGCAGGCCTGCATAGGGAATGTGGACTAGGCTGGCTGTTCTGTGGGCAGCTCTAGGTTGGCACTGTGGGAAAGAAGGCTCTCCTCAGGAAAGAGTAGGTGACCCAGATATGGATACCTAGCCTGGAGGGAATGATTGGAACTGAGACAACAGGACACAGTAAGGAGAGCAAAGGTGTTTTCATGGAGAGACTGATTCGGCTCTCGGTCCAAATCCCAGCTCGACCTCTTGGGCAATGAGCGAAATCAGCTGAACTGCTCCCTGAGCCCCATTTCCCATCGTTGAGATAAAGGATGGAAATGTAACCGGAGATGAGGGAGGACGCGGAGGTGCAGCTGGGGTGGCAGTGGGAATGGCGATGAGGACGTGGCTGACCAGGCACCAGCCTGCCTCCTGGTCCTCATCTCTGAAACTAGCAGCTGGGAACCCAGCACTGTACTAGAACTGCACAGACCTCACCCAACAGTCACAACTCTCTACAGCCAATAGGAACATCTCTCCACTTTCTAGGTGCAGAGGCTAGAGGAGGGTAAGTCCCGTGTCTGAGCCACACGCTTCAACTCAGGCAGCCTGACGCCAGTTCCCACGCTCCCCAGCACAGTACCATGGAGAGGGCAGAAAAAGACACACAGAGAGGAAGCGCAGAGATGGAGAAACAGGCATGACAAGGAGTAGAGAGAAAGGGAGAGAGACCCACCACCCACAAAGGGAGTGTCATCATAAAAACTGAGACACTTAGGGAAGACACAATTAGAGACATTACAACACAAATACACAGGAGACATAGCAAGAAAATGTAGAGGAATATTTTTATAAAATAGAAATGAGGAAGGATTTTCTTAGACAAAACTCCACATAAATAAACACAAGGCAAGAATGCTATGGAGAATTTGGTATCTAAACAGCAGTGTGGAAATGACCTGGCTTCACTCCCTCCCACAGAAAACAAAAAACAAATACACAGTGCCAAGATCATCTCCACCAATATTCCAGAACTCAAATATGAGGATGAGACAGTACCCACGGCTACAAAGTGAAAAAAAACAAAAACAAAAAACAAACCTGTGAGCAGGTCGTATGCAAATCAGACTTCCATATTGACAATCTCCCCTGAGCCTTCCCAGCACCAGGTACGTGGAAAATTTCCCCTCAACTGACAGTTTCTGTACTGGAAAGTGTAGGATCAAGTTGGACAATCAACTTCCCCACCATCTTGGGTTCCCTGGCAGGAGATCTGTCCCTGCCTCAACCCACAGGAAGCAGTGGCAAGGCCTGAAGGGAGAGCTCTCCCTGAGCACAGCCACAGAGGAAGTGGGGAGGTGGGACTAGCATCCCCAACACTGGGTGTTCCACTCTGTAACTCAGTCAAAGGAGATGCCAAATCAGAGTGGCTGTGCCGCAGCACCACACTGTGGGAGGTTCATTCCACAGGTCCCCTGGGCACAAGCTCTTTCCCAGCCTTCCCACACTACCAGGACATCCCCTTTGGGCGCCCTCATTCAGGACAGGGGCACTCTGATCCTTAACCAGCAGAGGCAAATCTGGACATATGGCGCCATCTAGTGCTAAAAAGGACACAGTGACATGGGGGAAGGGGCAAGGAAGAAAATCAGGAAAATTACATAGAATCAATCTCTAAGCAAACACATCCAATAAAAATCAAAACAACCCAGACAATACTGCAATAAATAACTAATCCTCAATGCCAATACATAGATGTAGATCCACAAGGAGCAACAGGAACTGGGAACCATGTCCTCCTCCAAACAGACAAAGCAAGGAACCAGTGACTGACCCTACTGAGACAGCCATAGTGAACTCTCTGCCCAAGAATTCTTTATACTCGTTTTAAGGAAACTCAGTGATCTCCACGATAACACAAAAAATCATTTCCAAAATTCATTTCAAAAATTTAACAATGACATCGAAATAATTTTTAAAAATTTAACAAAAGAAGTACCAGGCATAGTTGCTCAGGCCTGAAATCTTAGCACTTTGGGTTCTGAGCAGCGAGGATCACTTGACGCCAGAAGTTCAAGACCAGCCTGAACAAGAGTGAGACCTTGTCTCTATTAAAACTAGAAAAATTGATTATCCAAACGAAAACCTAAAGGTAAGAAGCAACAATTGATCCAGATGGGAAGAAATCAGCAAAGGAACTCTGAAAATATGAAGACTCAAATGGAAAGCACACCTCCAAAGAGGAACAGCCCGTTAGAAATGGACATCAACCAAAATAAGACTACTAAAATGACAGAAGAAGAATTTCGAACATGGGTCATAAGAAAATTCAATGATTTGCAAGAAAAACTGGATAATCAACAGAAAGAAACCACAAAAAGATTCCAGGACCTGTAAGAAAAATTCACTAAAGAAATTGAAATAATAAAGAAAAATCAAACTGAACTTCTGGAAATGAAGAATCAATTCAGGGAACTACAAAACACAGTGGAAATCCTCAAGAACAGGATAGATCAAACAGAAGAAAGAATCTCAGAGACTGAAGATAACACCTTCCAATTAAATAAATCAGTCACAGAGATAGAGCAGAGAAGCAAGAGAAAAGAGCAAAGCCTACAAGAGATGTGGGATTATGTGAAGAAACCTAATGTGAGGGTTATAGGGTTACCAGAAGGGGAAGAAGAAAACATTCAAAGGTTGGATAAACTATTTGAAGATATAATAGAGGAAAATTTCCCAGGCCTTGCTAAAAATCTCCAGATACAAGTTCAAGAAGCTCAAAGGACCCCTGGGAGATTCAATCCAAACAGGAAGATGTCACGACATGCAGTCATCAGACTGACCAAAATATCAACTAAAGAGGCCCTTCTATGAGCTGTAAGATGAAAGAAGCAAGTAACATACAAAGGAAAGCCAATCCGAATAATGCCAGACTTCTCTACTGAAATCTTACAAGCAAGGAGAGACTGGGGCCCCATTCTCACTGTTCTGAAACAGAATAATGCCCCCAGCCTAGAATCTTATTTCCTGAAAAACTAAGTTTTGTATATGAAGGAGAAACCAAGACATTCTCAGATAAGCAAAGACTGAGGTAATTCACCAAGACCAGCCCTTCAAGAAGTACTCAAAACAGCATTACCCACAGATCAGCACAATAAATACTCATGAATGTAAATCTACTCAAAAGTTAAAGATCAAAGCCCAGATACCACAATGGCTCAAGAGAGAAAACACAGCAACAAAGTTCAACCCAACATAATGAACAAAAATCTGCCCCACCTATCAGTTATCTCAATAAATGTGAATGGCTTGAACTCCTCACTCAACAGACATAGGCTGGCCAAACAGATAAAAAAAAAAAAAATACAAGCCAAATATCTGCTCCCTTCAGGAAACACATCTAACCTGCAAGGATGCAGTTAGACTAAAGGTAAAGGGGTGGAGAACAATATTTCAAGCAAACAGAAGCCAAAAGAAAGCTGGCGTGGCGGTGCTGATTATAGACAACTTAGTTTTTAAATCAATAAAAGTAATAAAAGACAAAGAAGGTCACTATATAATGGTGAAGGGTACAGTTCAACAAGAAGACATAACAATTCTAAATATTTATGCACCCAACCTAGGTGCACCCAGATTCATAAAGCAAACTCTACTTGATCTAAACAAATGAATAAACAACAACACCATAATAGCCGGAGACAG